ATCCCTATTCCCAGTGAATCCCAGCCCCATTCCTAATTCCTGACCGTTCCCAGTGAATCCCAGCCCCATTCCTAATTCCTGACCATTCCCAGTGACTCCCAGTCCCCATTCCCAGTAAATCCCAGTCCCTATTCCCAAGGAACCCCCCAGCTCCTATTCCCAATCTCTGGCCATTCCCAGTGAATCCCAACACCCCTTCCCAATTCCTGACCGTTCCCAGTGACTCCCAGCTCTCATTCCTAACTCCTGACCATTCCCAGTGACTCCCAGCTCTCATTCCCAATTCCTGACCGTTCCCAGTGACTCCCAGCTCTCATTCCCAATTCCTGACCATTCCCAGTAACTCCCAGCCCCATTCCCATTAAATCCTGGTCCCTATTCCCAGTGAATCCCAGCCCCATTCCTAATTCCTGACCATTCCCAGTAACTCCCAGCTCTCATTCCTAATTCCTGACCGTTCCCAGTGACTCCCAGCTCTCATTCCTAATTCCTGACCATTCCCAGTGAATCCCAGCTCCCACTCCCATTAAATCCCATCCCTATTCCCAGTGAATCCCAGCCCCATTCCTAATTCCTGACTGTTCCCAGTGACTCCCAGCCTCCATTCCTAATTCCTGACCATTCCCAGTGACTCCCAGCTCTCATTCCCAATCTCTGGCCATTCCCAGTGAATCCCAACACCCCTTCCCAATTCCTCACCATTCCCAGTGAATCCCAGCCCCAATCCCTGACCATTCCCAGTGACTCCCAGCCCCCATTCCCAACTCCTCACCATTCCCAGTGAATCCCAGCTCCATTCCCAATTCCTGACCATTCCCAGTGACTCCCAGCTCTCATTCCCAATCCCTGACCATTCCCAGTGAACCCCGGCCCCCATTCCCAATTCCTGACCATTCCCAGTGAATCCATGCTCTCATTCCCAATTCCTCACCATTCCCAGTAACTCCCAGCCCCATTCCCATTAAATCCTGGTCCCTATTCCCAGTGAACCCCAGCCTCCATTCCCATTAAATCCCATCCGTATTCCTGGTGAATCCCAGCTCCATTCCCAATTCCTGACCATTCCCAGTGAATCCTAGTCTCCATTCCCATTAAATTCCATCCCTATTCCTGGTGAATCCCAGCCCCATTCCCAATTCCTGACCATTCCCAGTGACTCCCAGCTCTCATTCCCAATTCCTGACCATTCCCAGTGAATCCCAGCCCTCNGGAGCTGCTCCCGATTTCCCTGCGGGCCCGGGAGACCCAAACTGGGAAAGGAAGATCCGAACTGGGAATTTCCTGGAGCTGGAAAAATCCCTGGGAATGGGAATCAGGGAATTCCTGGAGTTGGAAAATCCTTGGGATGGGAATCAGGGAATTCCTGGGGCTGGAAAATCCTTGGGGATGGGAATGAGGGAATTCCTGGGGCTGGAAAATCTGGGAATTCCTGGAGCTGGAAAAATCCCTGGGGATGGGAACGAGGGAATTCCTGGAGCTGGAAAATCTGGGAATTCCTGGAGCTGGAAAAATCCCTGGGGATGGGAAACAGGGAATTCCTGGGGTTGGAAAATCTGGGAATTCCTGGAGCTGGGAAATCCCTGGGAATGGGAATCAGGGAATTCCTGGGGCTGGAAAACCCTTGGGGATGGGAATGAGGGAATGAATTCCTGGGGTTGGAAAATCTGGGAATTCCTGGAGCTGGGAAATCCCTGGGGATGGGAATCAGGGAATTCCTGGGGCTGGAAAACCCTTGGGGATGGGAATCAGGGAATTCCTGGGGCTGGAAAATCTGGGAATTCCTGGAGCTGGAAAAATCCCTGGGAATGGGAATCAGGGAATTCCTGGGGCTGGAAAAATCCCTGGGAATGGGAATCAGGGAATTCCTGGGGCTGGAAAACCCTTGGGAATGGGAATTCCATCCCAGCCGTGTCCCCATCCCACATCCTCAGGGATGAGAATTCCAGCTGGGAATGGCAATTCCAGCCCAGAATTCCAGGGGAAAATTCCCAAAAATCCCACTCTGGACGGCTCTGGGGGTGCCAGGGGTGGGATATGGATCCGGGTGTTCCCAAATCCCGCTGTGCCAGGAAGGTGAGGCTCTCCCAGCTGCCAGAATTCCCAAAAAATCCCTTCCATATTCCAGGAGAGCTGCAGAGGGGTTTGGGGTGCAGGCTGGAGGGATGGGAAACAGGGAATATCGGATTCCAATGGAATACTGGGATTTTGGGATGGAATTCCCAAAGAATCTGGGGCTGCTCCAGCCCTGGAGCATCTCGGGACAGTGGGAGCTGTCTCTGCCCATGGAATGGGACAATCCCTAAAATCCCTTCCAACCAAAACCATTCCAGGATTCCCTGGACAATCCCAGAATTATCCCAGGCCAGGCTGGAGCATCCCAGNATGGAAAAATCCCGGATTTAATCACAAGGAGCAGGAATTCCATGGGATTCCCGAACCACCCCAGGGCCGTTCCCGCTTTTCCCCCTTCAGGGCTGAATCACCCCAATCCAGGTTCAGGTTTTCCATGGAAAAATCCTGAATTTAATCACAAGGAGCAGGAATTCCACGGGATTCCCAAATCACCCCAGAGCCCGGAGTTTCCCTTTTCCTGAGGACCCCAATCCAGGTTTTCCACGGAAAAATCCTGAATTTAATCACAAGGAGCAGGAATTCCACAGGATTCCCAAACCACACCGGAGCCGGGAGTTTTCCTCAGCAATTCCCGATTTTCCCCCTTCAGGGCTGGCCCCAAATCCAGGTTTTCCATGGAAAAATCCCGGATTTAAGCACAAGGAGCAGGAATTCCGCGGGATTCCCGACCCACCCCGGGGCCGTTCCCGCTTTTCCCCCTTCAGGGCTGAATCACCCCAATCCAGGTTCAGGTTTTCATGGAAAAATCCCGAATTTAAGCACAAGGAGCAGGAATTTCATGACATTCCCGAATCACACAGGAGCCAGGAGCTTCCCTGAGCCATTCCCGATTTTCCCCCTTCAGGGCTGCACTCAAATCCAGGATTTCCATGAGAAAAATCCCAGATTTAATCACAAGGAGCAGGAATTCCACGGGATTCCCAAATCACCCCAGAGCCTGGAGTTTCCCTTTTCCTGAGGACCCAAATCCAGGTTTTCCATGAGAAAAATCCCAAATTTAAGCACAAGGAGCAGGAATTTCATGACATTCCCGAATCACACAGGAGCCAGGAGCTTCCCTGAGCCATTCCCATTTTTCCTCCTTCAGGGCTGGCCCCAAATCCAGGTTTTCCATGGAAAAATCCCGGATTTAATCACAAGGAGCAGGAATTCCATGGGATTCCCAAACCACCCCGGGGCCGTTCCCGCTTTTCCCCCTTCAGGGCTGAATCACCCCAATCCAGGTTCAGGTTTTCCATGGAAAAATCCCGGATTTAATCACAAGGAGCAGGAATTCCACGGGATTCCCAAACCACACCGGAGCCGGGAGTTTTCCTCAGCAATTCCCGTTTTTCCCCTTTTCCCCCTTCAGGGCTGCACCCCAATCCAGGTTTTCCATGGAAAAATCCCGGATTTAATCACAAGGAGCAGGAATTCCACGGGATTCCCGACCCACCCCGGGGCCGTTCCCGCTTTTCCCCCTTTCCCGATCCCGAATTGCTGCCGAGGGGAGGGAAGGAGGGAAAAGCGCTGTGGCTGCGGC